GAGCAGACGAAAACGGTACCCAGGGTGAAACGGGTACCGGCTTGGGACCACCGCAAATGTCAGCATGCTGTAGGTGTGGGACTTGCCTCAGGCTTGATCACGGTTCCTCGCTGCGACGTCCTAGTTGGGAAGCCAGAGGTTTACATCCGAAAACGGCACTGGGCGTACCCAGTGTGGGCTTGAGACAACGCTGCCGTTCCCTGCTCTCTGAGTATTTGGTTGGTATGGTGTAGCCCGTAGGCTGCATCGTCTCTTGTTGAAGATGTGCCACTGTGCGCTTCATGTTTGCGAGTTGGGTCCACTTTTGCCAGACAATCCAAGATAAGTGTTGAATTTGTTTACCACCACATGTTTCGCCTTCACTTGCCAAACAAGCCCAGCGGTCTAACTTTGACATCAGTATCTGTAAAGGTTCAGTGAAATCTGCTGGGATGCGGCAACTCTTAAGGGGAACGGCAGGCCGCGGAGTAGGGAACGGATGACGGCGACGCGACATGATAGAAGCGAAACGACAGAAGGGTGACGGCGGTTGGATACTGCGATTTGCTTTAAGTTGGTTGCGCACGGGCGATGGAAGTGACTATACCGCGGGCCAAATCTACAATTCGCAAAGTCAACTGAGAATACCATTCGCTTTTATTTATTATTTCCTTCGCTCCCCATCCATGTGATTTCGCCTGCTGCATTTGCTCCCGGGACTGCTGACTCTTAAGCTCCATCATAACAGCTCCCGCACCTCCCACTCGCATGTCCGTGCAACTCCCTATATCGGAAATTGACAGATGCTACTCAAATGCGGTGCCGTCGGCCACGCCATTCACGTCTTGGCCTGCTCATCTACCGGAAATCATCCAAAATTCAGACAGCCGCCAGTTGAAACCCCTGACGACCGCAGTTTCAATACTCTGAAAGCTCCGGCAGGGTGTAGCGGTTTCATCATTCACGAGCTCAAAGACCAATTTCCGCTGCGGGTCGGTGACAAGCCAGAACAACAGGTTTTAGCTATCAAGTTGTTACCAAGACCAATTACCCGCAATAAAAAGGACCGAAAATGATTGGGATTGAGATCGCACGTGAGTAACTTTCTCTTCCGCTCGGATTCATCGGCGTTACAATCGCAGCCAAGCTTCCTCACTGTCGCCGCCCAGGCTGCGCGCTTGAATGGATGGAGTCCCGGAACCTGCCCATCGTGAGAAGCCACGGTCTTTAAGCATTTGTGCGCTGGAAATATGGTCACGATGTTCCAGCGCTAACATGCTAGAACGTTGCCGATTGGCATGGTGTCGTTGCGGGCCAACGGTTGGTGCATAGCTCGCAAGACCGCTGCCGTCACGCTCTCAGACAGAAAGCATGGGTTAACTAAGGGACAGGAGTGACAAACCCACTCACATCATAGCTTGCCTATCTAACTCCTTGCGTAGACTTAGGCAGCCTGCCTATGACCGTGCTGCACGTTTTCGGGAGGTCATTGGGGCCGAAAGACTTAGCAAGTCCGTAATTTTCGCACAGCTTTTCTTACGGTCTCATTTGAGTCACCTCGATGTCCTGCCATGGCACTGACTTGGATGACGATAGAAAACACAAATGCGCGATACCTATGTCAAAACCAACCACCGCAACACCCAACAGCTCGAGACTACTGATATTGGCGAAAGCTGTTCTTCCTAAAAACAAGCGACCCGCGCCTGCATCCTCATCATTGCCGGCGCAAAACCTCAAGACCAACAACAGCAATTCTCGGGCACTGTCCCACATCAACGTTCAAGACAATGATATGGCGCAAGACTTGGCGATCTTTTGCGCCGGCAATGGTAAGGATGGTGGAGGCGCGGGCCGTTTGTTCTTGCCGACAATAGCCTTTGCCAGTGTTAGCGTAGTGTCACGCTGCCAACGTCCAGGTTTACCGTAATCCTCGATGGTCCCACGCAGCCATTGCTGTCAGTAGTAAAACTGTCGAGGCGAGCGCATGGCATTCTCTCGCCGCCTCTGAGAACGTCGTTTCGAGGCGCCGGTTGTCCGGGGATCACGGGAGGGGCCGTGATGCCTGGCACCCAGTCCAGGCTTAAGGCAGAAGCGCTTGTAAGATTGAGGTTTGATTGTATGCACAGCCACGTTCCAGAAAATCCAAATCATGTGATATTCTGAGAGAATTTCGCGTGCGTCACCACCCTGGACGGTGGAAGGGGGGGCTGTGAAAACAATTCTCGCGGATGTGCGGCGCAGCAACACTAGATCTAGGGGGGTGTCGCAACAGGTAGCAGCAAAGAAGGTCTTGTGCTTGCTAAGCGCGCGAAAGAAGGTCTTGCGCTTACTAAGCGCGCGGTCGCTTCACGCGTTCTTCGCTTCTGACACGCTGGAAGTTCGAACAACGCCGGCAGGCTTCCACACCTTCCAGCTAGCACAACTCCAAACGTTCCAACGTCCACGCAGGAAGTCGCGCATTTGCTCAGCTTGCAGGACGGCCAACGTTCTTTCGCGTCAAACGTTCCGCGTCCCGTGCCGCCGCGCCTGGACAAGATTCGACAGCCCCACGTTCTTTCGAGTTCAAACCTTCCACGCCTTCCGCGCAATCTATGGGCGAGTCTCTGCAATATATAAGTATCCGCCGTGTGCGTTGCTCCCCCGGCCCTTTCTCACTAGTTCACTTCCCTATCTCAAGGCATCGTACTTCACCCCGCTCTGTCGTACTTCCCTCTTCCCGCTATTCTACCTGCCGCGTGTCGTGCTTCGCTCTTTCTTCTCCCTTGGCTCTCTTCTCAATTTGGCACGTCGAATCGTACGGCAACGGCCTGTTTTCCTTTCCTTCTGCGGTCTTTCTCGCCTCTCTTGACCGCGTACCCGCTTCCAACTCGTCAGGATCCACGGCAACGGCTCTTGCCTCCCTGATTTCCTCGCCTCTCGCTTCATCACAAGGCAACGACACTCGCCGCTCTACCTTTGTTCGCCTCTCGCTTTCATCACAAGGCAACGACACTCGCCGCTCTACCTTTGTTCGCCTCTCGCTTTCATCACAAGGCAACGGCACTCGCCGCTCTACCTTTGTTCGCCT